CTTGCATAAATCTAAACACAAATCTCTATTCAGCCAAGCGACCTCGATATGTGCAAATAGTGCATAGCTGGTCGGGAGGGGGTTTATTTAGTTTATTTATTGTTATTACGTTTTTTTCACCAATACTACCCTAATCCGGATCCGTACGCGGTAACCATGGGTTTTTATGAAGTAGAGGTTTCTATGCATTTCTGTGACCGTGTGTGTGTGTGTGTTTAGATAGTGCACGTCTGACAAAAAATTCGGTGCCCACCGTTACGCTGTGTGTTAAAGTTTATAGCTGCGACCGCTGTGCTCACATCTCATGGAAGTTCATAATTATTATCACAGAGTTAGATTGTAAAGCTGAAAGTTACGATTGCGCCATAGTTTCTGCTACTACATTCACAGCCAAATAGAACCGCGATGAAAGAAAAACCCATAGCTTGTTGTTGTTATGAAATAAGGAAGGCCTAACATAGACCTTAATGGTTATATTCAAAGAATAGAAGTGACTTGCATTTCTGCTAGGCTTAGAACCACTGCAATGGATACTTTAAACCTATTCCTTGACATTCTAGCCATAGAATTGCCAACACACATCAGATGACATCGATATTGGGTTTTCGCCTAAGGTAAGAGCAATAGTACAGCTGTCAATTATAAGGAAATTCAAGAATTTTAGAACCCTACACTTTCATACCCCATAGTAACGGATGATCAAAGTTGAGGTACTTTTTTCAAAATCCCTTTTGTGACAGGCCAAGCTGTCATCTTATTTTTGTTCAGTACTGTTTGCCGTTTGATCATGGAAAGACTTACGTTTCCCTCATCTTATGGTCCACATAATCGGCTTGCTGAGCGTACGATTCGCAACACTATCACCCATCTTGAGACTCAGCATTTATTATTGGATAATATTCGACCGAATAGACCACGTCCAGCCCGCATTGAAGTAATTATAGGGCCGTGTAGCGAAGAGTGTATACGAAGACCGGAAAGAACTGAAGCGTCTCGGCCTTCCAAAGCGATATCGCTTCGCGTTTTCGAGTCAAATTTGGTTCAGCGATTAATTCCATTTCTGAGTGAAAGTTATGCAAACAAGAAATTTGCAGCATTTGGTACGAAAAACAACCTGAAGAGATTTAAGAGCTACCATTTCATTTAGAAAAACAATGGTTTGTTGTGGGAAGAATCATGGGTCCACATTTCTCCAAAAATGATGGCAGTTAGAACGTAACCGTCAATGACGACCGTTATCGCGCTATGATAACCGACTATTTGATGCCTGAAATGAAAGTTCTTTAACTCGGCGCCTTTGGTTTCAACATGATGATCCACTTCTCATACATCGCATCAATCAATGGTTTTATAGAGAGAACACTTCGGTGAGCAGATGATTTCACGTTTTGGGCCGATCGATTGGCCACAAAGATTGTGTGATATCATACTGTTAGACTCTTTCCGGTTGAAATGCTCGAACGAAAATTGAACTCAACGAATGGATCACCTGGAACGTAGCCGCTGCCTAAATATGAAAGAGATAATCTTCAAATTATAAATGCCAAATAATGTTCATTCGAATGATAATAGCCATGAATTTGAATTTTCTCTCATTTTTTCTTAAAAAAAGTAGGGAACCTCACAAAAGATCGTCCTTTCCTTCTTATTTTCAATACTCGTTCAACTTTATGACACTTATGATTAAAGGCTGGATGGTAGAGGGTGAAACTGTTTTGTTGAGAATCTTTTCGTTGAAATTCTCACTCCAGCGGCCAAATGACATTGGAATGCATCTATAAAAGCTGTCCGTTCGATCACGATAAACTATCGAAACATACGGCACTGTATCAGCTCACTTCAGAAGATGACCGGAGAGAACCGATTATCCGTCGTTTGGGTCGCTAGTCCCTAAGTCATAAAGGGGAGGTCATGTTATAAATAAGCAGAAAGTGAAAGACTCTTCTGAGAGCTCTATTTCTTAAAACCGAATACTTAAAAATCTACATAATGGTTATACTGTTCATCACTTCATGCTCTTCGAATCAAATGTCGAGTGTAAAAATCGTTTAGATCTTTGGCTTGTGCCATTTGTATTTCATTATAACTGTATTGTTCAAATAATATACGCCCAGACTACAACTACAAATCCGACCGGCTGCGACCGACCGACGGTCCACTCATCTATGAATTGCCAATCCACCCCTAAATACATATGTATATACATATAATGAATGGATTCAATAAAAACAATAGCAGCATTTGCACCAAAACATGAACAACGGTATCAACTGTAGTGCTGTCAGCATCATCGGCGTTATAGTTTGAATTGTTAATATGTGGCATGATGATACAGTGGGACAATCAGCATGACTTTTTAATAAAAAAAATGAACTGATATAACATATTTTCCGTCGGATAGTGAGAGCAAATGTGTGATATCGATCTCGCTTTAATGCGAATTGTGACAAAACCTGCTCACTGAACAATCGGACCTAACACAATATTCGTGTTCTTTTGTATGACCTATGTAATATGAGTCCTGTTCGACCTTGCCCCGTTCATTGTGCCTCTTAATGGTACATATCTCTGTTTTAACAAGAACATCAACCCGACTGAATGCGTCTTCCAATTTAGAGCGTTACTGGTTTAATATCTTCAATAGAGCAAGCCGCTTGTTTCAATACTATCTTTTTTTTATTTACTTTTATTTTAATTTATTTGATTTTAGTTAATTTAATCTGATGTTATTTTATTTTTACTTAGTTGTATTTTAGTTTATTTCTTTTTATTCTGTTTCGTTTGATATTATTTTTAATTTATTTGAATTTAATTTTTTTCATTTTTTTTGTTCAATTTGTTTAATTTTTTTGTATCATTATTATCTTTATTTTTTTTTAATATCTTATTTTTACCTAATTTTTTTAATTTAATTTTATTTGTTTACTTTCTTGTATATTTTGTTCATTTTATTTTACTTTATTTTTATCCTCTTACTGTTAATTTACAAAGCGCCAATTATATGTTTTTTTTTAATTAATTTACTTTTATTTTTTATATTTTTTAACTTCATTTTATGCTGTTTAATTGTCTTTTATTTTATTTTATTTCAATTAATTTCATTTTATTTTATCAATATTTTTTATTTTATTTTATTCGCTATACGTAATTTTTGTTTTAATTTTAATTGCTTTTTAAATTTTGTTTTATTTTATTTTTAATTTTATTTCATTTCTCTTTATTTCATGTCATATTATTTATTTTGTTTTCCATTTTTTATTTTATTTCCCATTTTATTTTATTTTACTTAGTTTATTATAATTTAGTTTAATTAATTTTAATATAATTGAATTGAATCGAGTTTAATTTAATATTGATTTATATTATTTTATTATTTATTTATATATTTTGGTATTGAATTTTATTTATTATATTTTAATCAGTTTAATTCAATATAATTTAATTTAATTTAATTCACTTTTTTATTTTATTTTTTTTATACTGTTTCATTTCATTTTCTCATATATTTATTTTTACATTTTTGTATTTGTCTTTAAGTATTTAATTTAATTTAATTCAGATTAGTTCATTTCATTTAATTTTATTATATAATATTATATATTTTATTTTGGTTTATTTTTTTATTTGTCCTATTTTCTATATTATTTTATTCAGCTCAATTTAATTTATTTTAATTTAATTTAATTTAATTATATCCTGTTTTATTTTATTTTCTCATATATTTATTTACAGTACATATTTTTGTATTTATATTTATTTATATTATTTCATTTTAGCTTATATATTTTTATTAAATTATATTTTACTTCAGTTAATTTAATTTAAGTATTTAATAATTAATTGCTTTTATTAATTTTAACGATCTTAAACACTGTAATAAAACTTTCAGCTGCTTCGCAATCAGTGCTCGATATGGCCCAACGCTGCGATTACATTCAGAAGTATTTGCGACAGTTGTAATCGTCCTGCAGCATGTGCACGGCAACAAATAATGAAAATATTTGAACGTTTACCACCGAGAATAAAATCGAAATTCAGATAAAATAAACAAAAAACGGCTCATATACTCATATACAATACTACTACGATTGCAGAAATAACAGACAGCAAGGATATTTCTATAACGCCTCTATTTTTCTCTTCTTATTGAGTGCTCTCTTAACCTGCGTGCGTGTGTGCATGTGGCCTGGTGTGGCATTACCCAATAAAGAGTATAACATAGATTTAAAAGTGAATCAGTGAAAGCACATTTTTTCGAAATTAATTTATGCGACCAGCGAGCTGTGTGGTTAAATTAATAGGAAAATATAACCTTTTTCAAACTATTCTAAGAAATTATTTTATTTCCATAAATCTTCATACTTAAATTAAGGTAAAAATATTTTTATAAAATTCGCAATCATCTGCGTTGCAAGTTTGTTGTGCTAATTGGGTGATTGGGTATCTGTACATCCGCAAGTCGCCGCAGCCACCAACAACTAAGTGAAACCACCACCATCATCATTATTGCTGTCATAACCAACAGCAACAGCAGCCGCCGTAGCCGCAGCAACAGCATTAGCACCACTACTACAAAGCATTTAGCAACCGAACAACTGCTCTAGCGACGTTGTTGAGCATTTAGAACGTTTATAATTTTTTTTTTTGCAGCCAAATTAATGGCAGACGCATATCGTGAATGTAAAGTGTATCGAAAGGACAAAAATCTGGATTTTGAATACCACAAAGCGGTGGCAATTTATCCTTGTCTCGTTGCTAAAGTCATATGATGCTGAAGCTGATGGTGGTGGCGGTTGTGGTGTAGTTGTTTTTGTTTTAGCTGCGACTTGCATTTCCCCAGCCAAAGCGTTGTTATTATTCGTGGTCGGTGTCGTCATCAGTTGGTCCAGTTGTGATATTGCTTGCAAAGTGTTTTCGCTTACTAGTTTTTTAATACACAGTTTTTTCACAAGAAATACGAGAAAATCACTTAAATATTATTATTAGAATAAATACAAAGGAAAAAAGTGTTAAGTAAATAAAGTAAGTGTTGAGTAATTCATTGTTGGATTCTACCGAATTGTGTATTTAGAGTTACAAAAAGGTTAAATGTAAATGCAATTGTGCGTGCAATGATACTTTTGGACTGCTATAAAATAAACTTAAAAATTTCCATAAATACATTTATGCACATGTATATATAATGTGTTATATATACTGTTATTTAGTTGGTTGTATATTGTTGATAAGTTAATTTTTCCACACATACATACAAGTGTTGTAGTGCACAGAATAAACAAATTCGCGTTTGATTAGTGAGACCTCTCTCGGGTACTTTTTGCCACAACTCTCGCTGTAGCTATTCGTCGCCAGATGTCACCGCATTCAGCGTTTCCGTTTTTTCGGAAGCCTATGAATAAACAAATCGAACAGAGTTGCTTTCTAAAGTAGGAGCTGCTGAGTTCACTAAAGCTTGCATCCCAAAGAGCACTTTGTTGCAACGCATTTAACTGACGTTACTTATGAAACGTGGGATAGAAATGATTTGGTATTTATTCCTGTTACTATTTTAGCTATTATAAAACGTTCATACCTTGAACTCTGTGTCTTTCACAGAATAAAAAAGCGTTCCATATGCATACAAATGAGAGTGAGGTATGGGAGATGACAACATAAGAAACTTGTTCAAATTTGCTCATATTGTAGCTGACTGTAAGGGCCCATCTTGTTTCGCTCTATCGGACAGTGGCACAGCAGCTTGAAGAAACAATGTCATTTTAGTGTCAGTACTAGAACTCAAAAAAAAAAAAAAAAAAAAAAAAAAAAAAAAAAAATTAGTATTCGATTAACGTTCAATAAAAGGTTGGAGTAAAAATGCAATTAAAGGCGGCTGGGGAGCTCCTTGTTCACAATGAAATTCCCAAAATACCCATATTCACTAAAAAATCTAAAATATTATAAAAAATAAAAAAAAAAATGTTTGAATTTTCGGAATCTAATCTTAGACAAAACGAAATTAATTAATTAATTTTCAATTATTAATAATGTGTTTCCAAAATTTCCAAAAATTCGAGGGATGCATTTTTATGAGTAGCTCTTAATTCATATCAGACACAACATTCTAAGTGCTTGATTATCAAAAATAATTTTCCATAATTTTGGCGTTTGGTCGAACCAGGACTTGAACGATGACCTTCAGAAAGGAGGAAAACTTTCTCCTTTGCGGCACATCGGTTTACTTTGCGCAGTTTTCAAAGTTTCTGCTGTCAAGCAAGGCGAGGCGAAACTTTATGTGGCGAAGTTTTAAGTTAATTTGTCTTTAGAGCAAAAACGGAACACTGACTATGGTTGTGGGATTTTTACACTACACAAATGTCAGGCTAATTTCGCTTTTCGTGATGCTAAATCAAATAGAAACTAAAAATAATTTGCTTTATGTGTAGACTACCTTGAAAGGTCCTTCGACATTTTTTCCCCATGTTACAGTGCCCTGACACTCATACTGGGTTAAGAAAGAATTGCTCTTAAGCGTCACACATAGTGTGTAATTTCAAAAAAATCGATCATATTCCGATAGATTACACCTTTGAAAAAACCAATTTAAATTTCAAATTGATATCTCAAATAGTTTTTGAGTTATAGCAACTTAAAGAGCAGCTGCTCGGCAGCTAGAGAGTCTCATTAGCTACGATTGCAAACGATCATTTTATCTTTAAAGGCGTTTTTTTTTTAGATTTCATCCACGGAATCACTGCCGCAGTGAAGGACATTTCTTTCGCGCCGTAGGAGATCGACTATAACTTAAGAGAAGATATTTAATTTTTTTCTTCAAAAATGTCACTGTATTTTCTTGAAACATGTATAAATATATTCTTAAAATTTTGAAATAATTGATGAAGTATTTATTTTTTAATAAAAATTCTCAAAAATCACCTATTTTTAGGCCATTACACTAGGTGTGCTTCTTAATACTGCCAGGTTATCTGAGAGGATAGAACTACAAGTTAGTTGTAGTTTCTTTACACAGAGACAATTGACACTTTCATTTATAGCCACAAGTTGCAAAACGTTAGAGGGATCAGGTAGGCTCCGCCACCAATCTTATCATCTATTTCCGACCGATCTAGATGGCATTGCTTGTTGACATTCTGAAGGCCAGTGTTCGAGTCTTGAATCAACAATCATCCAAAACTATAGAAAATTAACATTTCTAACTGTGGTCTTCCTTCGGCAGGGAATGTCAAGCCCTCCGAGTGTTTTTTGACTTGAAACAAAAAAACCATTCGGAGACGTCTTAAAATAAACTGTAAATGCCCCTATTTGTTGTAAAAGCTCAAGATTCATACCACAAATTGCAGAAAGAGCTCGGTCAAAAATCACTTCAGCGGTTGCAAAGCGCCCATTATATATAGTCTGTATATCCATCTGGTTATCTTTTGTAAAGCAAGTGAAAGTTGAGCAGTAGTCCAAGCTTTCTGGAAGAAGGAACCCTTTTTAAATATTACTATAATCGTATCTAATCAGAACTTTATATTATTACAGAGCTGAAGTAAACTCAACTTTTTATCATGGATCATCCAAATCTTCCCTTTGGCTTTGCCTTACCGGGCCACTCACACATGCAAATACCACCAACACCAAATCTAATGTCGACCCATCCCGGTCCAACAGCCAGTCCACCACAGAGTGTACCCGGCAGGCGTACACCGCTTGGCGCTGTAGGACTCGGAGGATTCTATGCGCAAAGTATGGGCATGTCACAGCAGGGAGCCATGCCGACAGATGAGAACAAGCCCAGCCCAAGTGCACTGTCTGCAGGTGGTGGTGGTGGCGGCGGCGGCGGCGGAGTTATGGGACATGCACGCAAATCACCACCACAATCATTGTCTGGTGGCACAACAACCGTTGCACCCGGCAGTGGATCTAGTGGCGGTGGTAGTGGTGGTGGCAAACAGAAGAACCGGCAAGCGAAGACAGTACGACTGAATATAAATGCCAGGTATTTACAAAATAAAGTTAGACAAAACTCATTATTTTTAAATAGCAAATAATTAAAAAAATTGTATTTTGTAGAGAACGACGACGAATGCACGATCTGAACGATGCTTTGGATGAGTTACGCAGCGTTATACCCTACGCACATTCGCCTTCCGTGCGGAAGCTCTCGAAGATTGCCACATTGCTGTTGGCTAAAAATTATATACTAATGCAACAGAATGCCTTGGATGAATTGAGACGGTGAGTGGCTGAGGGGCTGAGGTGGTGCTTATGCTAAATTATTTATATGCCTACATACATATACATATGCACCTGATTGTGCTTACGCAATTGCTGATTTTTTTTTCCTTATGTGCGTACCAATGTAATGAGATTATTTACTTTTTTTCCCCCAGACTCTTGGCCTACATTCAGAGCACAAGTGGCGCAGCACCGCTAGACTTGGGCTCATTTCCTGCCGCTGCAAAACTTCAGGCGCTCTTACAGGGCCCACACAACGAGCCGCCGAGCAGTAGTTAAAAACGAAATTTCTATCGCTTTGAGAGCAAGAGATAAGTGCATCGGCGCCAAGGAATCAATCGGTGTTATTAATATTATTGAACTTCCGATTATTTTCGCAGCTCAGAGCGGATTTGATTGATAAGTGTGCAAACTATAATTATTTATTTTATATAAAAACAAGTACGGAGCGAAAAGCAATTTGAAACAAACTCATTTCTATAAATGCGTACATACATACATATATAAGTCCGTATCAACACTAGTCATCACATAGCTATGGATACCAAAAAATTGTTAAGTGATATTTTTTATTTGTATTTAGAAATTAAAAAAAAAAAAAAAAAGAATTTACAATTCGAATTCTTCGTTTTAAGAAACTCGAATTACGTAAAACACGATAAGTTTACTTTAATAAGTATTTATATTTAACTAGTTAACTTAAGTGAAGCAATTAAATAAAATAATATGAAAAAATTATTTGAGTTTTATACGTAAAAGAATGACATCGAATTAATTGTGGAAGCTTAAAAAAAAATAAACATCACTTAATGAAGGACCGAGTTAGGGCGTTATAGAAAATTGGATGATTGATAAAAAGTGATTGCGATCCCGTCAAAAAAATCCCCTTGTCTGACACATTTAATATCATTAAACACAACATTAGGTTTTCTTCAATAGATAATTAAGAGATAAAAGGTCCATTCGAGGTTCCCTACTTTTTTAAATAAGAAAACACAGAAAATTCAAATTAAAAGGGGAGTGTTTATTATCATTCGAAAGAACATTCTTTTGTAGTTATCTTTTGAAGATTATCTATTTAAAATGTAGGCCGCGGCTACGATTCAGATGATCCACTCGTTGAGACCAATTTTCTATGATTCGTTTGAGCATTTCGACTGCTAACTGGCGAATGACATGCGTAAAGTTTTGTTCCAAAGGCCTGAATCGAAGCGGGATTGTCTCCATATACTTTAGACTTTACATATCCCCACATGAACAAAATCTAACGGTTTGATATCAAACAGTCTTGTTGATCAATTGACCGGCTAAAAACGTGAAATTATCTGCTCACCGAAGTGTTCTCTCAATAAATTCATTGACTGATGCGATATGTGAGAAGTGACGACGTCTTGTTGAACCCAAATATCGCCGAGATAACGAGCTTCGTTTTCCGACATCAAATAGTTGGTTGACATGACGCGAAAACGGTCGCCATTGACGATTGCGCTCTCATGCGGTTGTAAATCTCTTCAGGTTGTTCTTCGACCCGAATGCGGCAATTCTGCTTGCCTACATAACCATTGAGCCATAAATGGCGATGAGTCCCTGAGTTCTTCCACAAGCTGTGATCGCGGTTTTCGTGTACACTCTCAGCTACGGCCTTTATATCTTCTTCACTGCGTGCAGGACGTGTTCTTTTAGACAGCTTGATATGACTCTTGACCTTATATAATATTATTTTTATTTTTTTTGTGTTTCAAAAACTGAGAAAATCACGAGGGTGACCAATAAAATATAACATAAGTTAACCAATAGTACTGGTAAACACTGATTTACAACACGAATTTCATGATTTTGGCTTATGCCAGAGGACCCTCTTTAAATCTTATTATTATTTTGTCCTGCGAAGAGTCAAGCCATAGCTTGGTAAATAAAAGCTGTGTAATGTAATCGCAGGAAAAAGCTAGTTTGAGCTAAAATCCAATTGATTTGCATTTTTGAACCAACTTGTTCATCCTTTATCTATTTCCCACGTAAGTAACTGATATTTTGAACACGGCGAAGTACTACGAACTGACATTTGTCCGACTATGCATTAACTTTATACTAGTTGAATACCAGTTCATTTAGGCAGTTCAGCCTCTTCTGAAAAAGTGCTGCCTTCAAGCGGTCCATATGTTGGCAGTAGAGTGTCGAATTGAGCGTTTGACAATAGGGGAGCAGCTCGTAGTAGATGATTACTTGCCAATCCCACCAAGCACACAGGAAAACCTTCCTGGCTGTCAATCCGATCTTGGCCACCGCCTGGGCCGCTTCCCCGAGATTTGACCACGACCGTTTGCGCTCGATGTTGTCGTAAGTGACCAATTTTTCATCGCCAGTCACAATCCGCTTTAGAAACGGGTCGATTTTGTTGCGATTCAGCAGCGATTCGCAGATGGAATTTCGCTCCGTCATTTTTTTCCTTTAGTTCATGTGGCATCCAAACATCGAGTTTCTCTTCGAATCCAAGGTTATGCAAATGGTTACAAACGGTTTTCTGGCTTATCTTTAGTTCGTCAGAAATTAAATAAGTGCTCACGTGACGGTCTGTTTTTACTATTTCCATGATTTTATCGCATCTTTGACATCGAAATTACTGGAGCGTAACCTGGCAAACCATTTTTGCTCTACACGTTCGTTTACAGTATTGGGCTCATAAACTTAATTAATTTTTTTCAGCCGCTTTGGCTGCTTTTTCGCCTTTATCGAAGAACAAATGTAAAATATCGCGAATTTTCTGTTTGCTGGTGTCCATCTTTGACGAGCGCTCACAACGTACTGAGTCAATCAATCGAACCGCACAGTATGACATGATGCGACACGTAACACTAATACGAACCAACTTTTTACTTGACCTAATATATGGCAATTGATAAAGGAGAAGATCTTTAAAGCATTTAAAGCAAATTATAAAGAACTAATAAGTAAAATGAAATGTATCGTCGGCCGCGGTAGACGAGTAGTTAGCATTGCGTGCTGTCATTCGGAAGGCTCGGGTTCAGATCCTGGTGTAGTACTAAGAAGTTAAGCCATGAAATTTTGTAGATTTTGAACTTTTTTTTTTGAAAAAGTTGTTTTGAGGTCCCACCATGTACTTATATGCATATACACGTATGTATTTTCATTGATATGCTATTGCTTGGGGGCCCTAATACTACATTCTAAATGTGTTATAAGTTTTCGAGTGACAAATCGGGTTTCAAATTTATAACCATTGTTTATTTGTATAAATTTAGGGTTCCGATTGGACCGATCCCTTCGATAGTTATTAAAAACATTTATTTGATTTTTACATATTTTTATTTATTTATAAGGCAAACATGTAGTAAATATATAATATAATATAAGTAGCTTTATACTTTGGACGGACTAGAATTTTTTTTATAATCTTAAACAAAATTTAATTTTTAATTTTTAATTTTTTCTTCTTAAATTAATATATAATAGACTTAAATTAATCTATTTTTTAGTACGGCTTTAAATTGATAATGTAGAATTTATTATTGTTTTATATATATATATATATATATAAGTTAAGTGCAATAATATTATTATAAATAAAATTAAATAGGAGAGTTAAGTACATTTACAAATATTGCACATAAGGAAGTGAAATAATTGCAAATATAATACATACATATATACATTGAAAATAGGAATTTGATAGAGGAAAGCAGTCAATAGCTATTATTCCCGACTTATTTATGCTTAAACATAAGTATATATAATTTACTTTTAAAGTGGGTTAAAGTGAATTCTAAAAATGTACAGCTTCAATGTTAGAGAAAAAAATTTGCTGCCAAATTCCGCTGATTCTCCAGCTGAAGATCTGGTGCACACATTCATACATCTGTACCATGAATATTTGGAAATTGCGTTTTTACTAATTATTAAAATATGTACAGACAATCTGAAGCTGCACTATAGTGCTTATCTTCGTACATTCGAAAGAGTGCGACTTCAACGCACGCTACCGGGTCGCGCGTACCATCGATGCGTATGTCGTCTCGCCACAGGCTGATAAGAACTCGGGTGGCACTCGTCATTCGGAAGTTGTTATCAGTTGGGCGTCAGTAGTAGTGAAGTGAGAATTAAAGGTGTAGCTCAGCGTTTAAATATATGCAAATGCTTTGCAACAGGTAGAACCCGCATCTAGTTCAGTGCGTCGTGTGCAAGGATTCATTAACTCTAACTTTCACTCTTTCTCTCCACCAGTATCCTCTGCTCTTTGCGTCAGCACATTTTCACTGCGGTACACCTATGGATAGCACTTTTGCACTGCCATTTCGGAAAATACGTTCCTTTGCAGGTAATTCGCCAATTAGGTATTCACCCATTTGTTCGATGGCCGATCGTGAATGGCCGGTGCTGTGGAAGGCCAAAGTGGCATCACGTCCGGCATGTTCCATTATGATGTCCTCGCCACCGGGATGATCGCGCAGAAATTGTGTGACGTCGTAGACGCGGTCGTAAATGACAATCCAACAATCGGAGAAGTCGTCATGTTGCGCTACAACAGCGAGTGGTATTTCTGTAAGACCGCGTGGTAGCACACCATTGCTGGGTTCCTGTGGAAAAGATTTATGTAGCGCTGGGCTTGTTGTAGCACTAGCAGATTTTTTGGATGTTGAGTTGAGACCTAAAGTCTGCAAAATACTGCTGAATGCTGAAGACATTTTCTTTTGGATGATTTATTTGATGTGAGAGCTTAATTACTTTTTGCCTAAACACGAAACTTTAATTTGTGGCTTTCCTTTCAATTTTAATCTCACTTGTATTAACTACTTTTAATTTCAATACCAACACTGCTTGAAATGCGTGTGATTTGGAGCGTAACTTTTCTAAAGCACGCAATAATTTGCAAAGTTTTGTAGTCTTGTGAGGCTTCGGTTGCCTCTTTGCTGCTACGATTTACTTTGTACCGATTCTAATCGCTGAATGCCAATCGATCGGCATGTCTTAATCTATTTATATGACAAACATTGCTATACAATGTAATCGAACGCTTCTTGATTGCTTTATCTGAAGCGTGTTTTGACATGGCAGTCGTAAAGTCGTACTCTCTGTCGACTTGACGGTAGAGCAATCGTGTTCAAGCTTGGTTTCGTAGCGATCTTATCATGAGCGCTGCGATCGAGAACGAAGTTTGCCGCTGCAAATGACTCAGTGTAATCTGACTATGACAAGTTAAGCTGACACTTGTAATGCAATTCTTCTGCCGCTCAGCGGTACAAGTGTACGTTGGAATGGTTTGGATTTGTGGTGTGAATGTGTGTTTTGTTTTGTGGTTTTGGTAATGAATGAACGCCGTAAGTTATTTACCTTACAAGCATTTTTTTTTACAAATGTATCAGTAGTAAATCTGTAGACTATGCCAAAGACAGCCTCTATGTAAAATGCGATTGCAGGGCCGTAGCTCTTGGTGTGCTGCGTAACATTGACAAAACAACACAAACGAACGGTAAATCGCATTCGGTTTTGAATTTCACACTTTTAATGTAATAAAAATAAAAATTATTATATATACTAATAAATATAATTTCTTTTAGTCTTTAGTCAGAATATACCTTAAATTCAGGCTCATGCGAAAAGTGCAGAAGAAAATTAAATGAGACGTTGCTTGCTTGTGTTCGTCGAGAGCGGACTTTGAATTTCCAACTCAGTACCAACTGTTGACAAAAGTGATTTTGCGTTGGATTTCTAGGCTGGCATTGTTGTTGCTGTTAATACCGAGTCCAAGATAGACGAGATTATGTCCAACTTTAAAGTTATGACTGTCGAAAGGGACGTGGGAGTCGAGTCTCGAATGCGACGACTGTTTGTTGGATGGGAGGATATATGTATTTCCTCTTACCCTCCTTCACTACCAAACTCATATGCGCCGCTTCTTTATCCAGTATGGAGATAATAAAACTCACGGCGCTGTTGAGCATTTCTGTTTAGATTGTCTAGACAAACAAATGCTAGAAATTGACGAGGGTGAATGTTCGATTTGCGTGAAATTCAGTACGTTGGTAGGTTTTTCTTTTTGAAAAGATGATCACATATTAACAGATTGACGAAAATTAGTTAGCTACGATTTTGATAAAAACACATAAATCGTTTCCAGATCCGTGTGTTCATGCTAGTATACCCTATGGTTCCAAACTAATCTTATTCGTTGAACCTAAGCGTACATCGAAGTAGTGACACTCGACTAATTTAGAGCAAATCACATTGCATTTAAACTTTCGTGGGGCAATTTGAGTGGCGACTAATATTATATGATACAGGGGAAGGTTCATACGAAACAAGTTTTTCGGGAAGTTGGCCAGGAACTGACCTATTAGAAAAACATTGTACTTTTGGCTCGATTTACTTTAAACTCGTTATATTAATGGGCATTTATGAAAATATCTTAATTATTGTTCCTTTTAATAAAAAATATTTTTTTTTTTACGAGATCTATGAGAAAAAATTACTTAAATTGAATCGCCCATACGTACGAAGATGAAAAAGTCAAGCAAATTGAACTATAAATAATTTTATTGAAACCAGTTTCTGCATGTTAATCTCAACGATAATTTATCAAGTTGAATATTATTTCGGTCCAGCCGTTATCAATGTTAGAAAAAATTATACATTGTTCTCAACATAAGAATTTCTCATTGAGCGAGATCGCATATGTATCAAAAATTAAGCATATATCTCGTTCTGAGAGTTAGTTTTTCTCTCACTTGGAAATAATATATCTATTCTGCATAATTCATTGAAATTACAATTGTCATAGCGCACGCTATGGAATTGTTTGGCTTTTACGCACTTAAATGTAAGGAAACGGATTCCGTATATGCACGGGCGTGCCTTTCAACAAAAATTCTGCTTAAGTCAACGAATGATGTCCTCTATCGGGTTATGGAATGGACCAAGCCAATCATATATCTGTTCGGTGGCCCGTGGTCCACTTCCGAAAATTTCTAAATATTTTTCCAAACCATAGAAATGTATTTTTCGAAACGTTCGGTCCTAAATAAATAAAATGGAAACAAAAATAGTTTTCCTGCTAAACTTAGCAAAAAGGCTACCTATGTATTAAATTTCAAATAAATCGCACCGTTAATGCAAGTTTTTCGAATAGATCAGTCCCAGGTCCTTTTTCCAGTGTGAGAAATAGATGTTATGTTATTCTCAGACCTAGTGAATATACATATAGATGTATGTAATATTTTAATATTTATCAGTCAACATATTACGGTATTTTTTAAGACACAAGGAAATGTGAAATCATATTACTTAACGGTAGAAAAAAGTAAATGAAATTCCGGGTTCTTACCTCGGATATATATATGTACGAGTACATTGCCATAGTTAACATAATAATTACAATACAGTCCTAATCGAATGTGAAATTAAAAACGACTTTTGCGTGCACAAAGAAAGCAAAAGTTAAATGTGATATATACATATGTACACAAATATATTATAAAATAATATATAATTGGAGCTTCGTTACCGCAGAAGCGATGCACATAAATACAAGCAATAATTTCAATTGACACACTCCGAAATGCGAGATAGGGACAGAACATACTTGTACATACAGACATATTCTTCAAATGTATATAATGATTAAATTATTTTATAAAATATAAATCATTTATAATTTATTATAATAGAAATAAATTTAATTGTGTTTCGAAAAATTGGCAAAAGCAGTACGTGATAGACAAAATTTTGTATGCCAATGCATTAGTGTACATACATACACACGTTGCGAATATTCTTTGTACTTTGAAACGTGAACAAAAAGTAATTTAGAAATGAATTTTGTTTGCTCCAGATAATATTTCTCTTTTAATAACCTTGAAGCCGGATGTAGGTGTCTCAAAATACAAGAGCATTTAACAGCACATTTAAATTTTAGCGATTAATATTAACCACAGCTTTTCGTTTCGGGTAAGAACGAAAAGGAGTTTATTTTGTTAACTACCTTAAAGATAATATTTTCAACCGAAACGATAGAAATTTTTTAATTAACTTGAATTTTATCGTGACGATGCAGCCTTGCTTTATACTGAATCAAATCTTAAGTTGAATATTGAAAAAGAATTAAAAATAAATAAAAAGCAAGTGAATATTTCTAGGGCTGTGCTATCTCCCATATCAATCAAATATATTTTCTATCAAATATTTTTTTATTATGATTTCAGTTTTTTATTAAAAACGCATGTAACCAGAAAACCGCTTCAGCAGGCAAAGAATGATAACAAACCCTAATTAAGCATCATCTAAGCTGAAATATTTTTTCATTATTAAATGTATTATTGATCTAACTGCCTTTTTGTATGGTCCCTTTCTCGTTGATAAAAGTATTTGACAAATGTCTTGAAGTGACCCAAACACACCATTTGGATCTAAGCTTATTTACATTCAATTTAAGAGTTAAGCAAACCGTAAACTTTCAAACCTTGGGATTTATTTGACTAACTATTCATACAAGAATTCGAGTCACCGATTGGCTACCAGGAGGCAACACCCGCCACATATAACGGTTAGAGCGCTTACAGCGGTTCGAACTTGGCGTCAAGACAAGTGCACAATAGTATCGGAAAAGTATTCCGAAGGTTGCTTTGAAGCCGTGGGAAGACAAACATTTCGGTGGCGTTTCGAACTTCATAACGTCCACCCAATGGCTCTTAAATTCGCCAGACATTAATCCAATGGATTATTCTCCTTGAGCAATTTAGGAGAGCATAGTTCCGAACTAAAAGACACACCAGTCTCGAGGCACTGTAGAAAGCCACTGTCCGCGAGTGAACAAAAATACCTGCAAGTCACATTTTCTATTTCGAACTGATTAAAAGTAATCTTCCAAACTAAATTTATAGCCGTTTTTATTTGGTTACAGGAGCTCGTTTGTCGGAGATCCGTTTTCAATAAAAAAAGTATTATTTATGTATACTTCGAGCAAGTCGAACTTTGTTCCAAGTAAAAGTATCAAATTGGAACGTAAGATTTAGATCTATTGTGTAGAACGTTCTTATTATATAATATTATATTATGAGTTATTATTATTATTATTACTGTTAATATTATTAACATTGAAAATAATAATCGAGTATTTTTATTGTGAATGAAACTCGATTTTTATTCATTTAGCTAATGTTTTCTCATCGTATTCATAGAAATATATTTATAAAATTTTAAAAAGCTAATACTTAATTTAATGATTTACTTTAATTTTTTGAATTAAGATCGATTGCATGCATAAATGTGTGGCTGTGCACATACATAGACATTACATATGTATGTATATTCAGAATCATAAGTATGTTAATGTCAAGGCCAATATGAGAATTGAAGAAAAAGAAAATTAAATAAAATCAAGTAAATTATATTGCGCGATTAAAAGAAGAAATCTAAAAAGATTATGCTAAGCTGCTCATTATCTTTGTTATTGTTTTAATTTTCTTTCAGAGAATTCGTAAAAGCTGACGTAAAAATACGAAACTACGAATCATCCCTACGGTATCACATAACAATTCAACATATAAGCATATACATATACGTATGTATGTACATATATATATTTTCATATGTATATAAAATATATTTGTTTATTTTTACTAATTTAAAAATATTTTCATTTTTTACTATGCTTGAGTTTTGTTTTAAAAAAGCTTCTAATAAATAAGAACACAATTAATTTATTTGACAAATTTTAAGTCTCGAAAAGTTCATTTGAGGTCTGACTCAATCACATTTAATACGTAAATCATCAGCGTCAGAATCCGTGTTTTTGTTTTTAATTTCAGTGCAGAGTTATTTGGGCTTTTGCAGTATTTTTGAAAATCATCGTTATCACAGGTTTATTATTGCGTTTTATTTCGGTTAAAACACATCATAATTTTAATTAATAAAATATTAATTTTTAGTCCTGAAATATTGACCAATGAAAATATCCATTTTTTAATTAAAAAAAAATTCCGTTGTAAAGGGCTAGCTTTGATATTGCACCAAATATAATGATACACATACATTGAGCATTAGATACCCATATATCGCGCAATTCGAGCAGCTGGATTTTCTTTCATTACTTTATTGGTCAACAGCGAAATTTTTCGCTTGAAATTTTAAGGTCATAAAAAATTAATTTAATTTTAATTTTAAATTTGTTTACTTATAACAAAAGTAAATATAAATTATGTTAAATAAATGTTTAAAAAAGGATCGAAATTTTTGTTATAAATTCGTGATCCAAAAGTGATTGATTTCTATATTAAAAAAAAAGTTTTTTGATTCATTTTTAAACTAACCTTTATTAACACAATTTTTTTTTAAATATTATAGAGAAATGTTACATCCATTCAGTTAAAACTGTTATCAAACGTTTGGTTGGGGCAAATAAAATTATTGAAAGCTTTAAATTCAGTGCTTCTGAAACTGTCAGAATGCCTCGTAGACATATATACTGCTGTTCTTCGAAACATAAAATAAATCTGGTATGAACCGGTATGAATTATTAACAGTAAATTAGGGTAATCCATTTTGTGGTTTCGAAAATAAACAAAAAAAAATTAATACAAAAAAAAAAAATAAAAAATTAATTCGAATACTTTTTTTCTAGAAATTCCTTTTTTATTGTAAAGCTTGAACATTTCCTTTATATGGGAAATCCTCGTGAATTTTACAAACTTCGATCCATTTGAGGTAATTTTTGATCACTTTTTGGCGCATAGAGGGCGGTATGTCAGGCAGAACTTGACGAATAATGCTTTTCAAGTGCTCAGGAGTTAAAGGTTTATCCGTATAAACACGGTCTTTTGCGTACCCCGAAATAAAGTCTAACTGTGTTAAATCGCACGAATCGGGGTAGCCAATGGATGAGAATTTATGCAGCAGTGAAATTTCTCTCGCAATAAGGCCATATTCGCTCGTGTTGTGTGGCATGTGTCCGCATCTCGCTGGAATCACATATTGTCGAAGTTGGGTTATCGTACGACCATAAGCTCCGATTTGACAATGGCAAAGAAGCAAGGTCTACTCACAACTACGGAGCAGACCCAAAGCCCACCAAACATTAAGTTTTTTTGGGTGTAGTAGCCTAACTTTCTAATTAACACAGTCGGGTAGTCGGCTACGCTTTCACTTACAATAGCCATATTTGAGGTTGAACGAGCAACAGAATGAGGGAGAGGCCATACCGTATATGTATTTGATCCAGTCTTTGCAAATATATTTAAACAAATTGCTCGAGTAGTTGGACAATTATGTGCACAATAATCTCTTCTTGAAGCAGGTTTTGAAAATTTCAATGGTTTGAGTGGTTTTCAAGCGATCTATTTTTACAAATGCTAGAATATTAACTAAAAGAAAAATATATGGATTGCCCTTAAGTTTAACAGACATTAAAATACAGCTCAGTAATTTGAAATCACGAAATGAACAATCCTATACAACACATTGTAAATATTGTGTGTAGAAAACTTGATTATTTGCTGATAAGACATTTGAAATCTCCAACATTGTACATAATTAGCGCGTCTAGTAGAAAGACCATCCGTCACGTGATTGTTATCTGATGTGCGAGAATGGTAAAACGGAAAATCTGTTTACTTTCACATGCACCCAATATTTTTGGACTTATTTACCCCCCTGAGCTTATTCAGAAATTTAATCGCACATTAACATTACTTTGCGTCATTCACTTGGCGCGCCCCATAGCAATTGAACCCGCTGAACTGTAAATAATAATAAGCAAAAATTATTACATACGTGTATAACTAAGTACATAATTGCAATTGCTGTAAATAAATTGAATTAAATTTTCACTGTCATTGAGGTTATCAGTCCAATCAATGGCTTATCGATGTATCATGTTTTGTTGCATTTTCTCTCTGGGACTCTCGTTTAGGTAAAATAAATTGAAAAAAAAAAATAAAAAAAAATTGTTTTTGTGAAGTGCCAGCAAGCAGATTAGGAGTTGCTATCTCTACACACGATCTATACGAATTGCTAAGGCGAAGAAATATTCTTAAATATTCAGCAACAGTTGAACCTGAAAATGCCTGATTTGGAAAACTAATCTGAATAAAGTCTTTGTGTTTGCTCAAAAACCTCAGGTATTTTTTATATCGGATTTCCTTGACTTTGGTAATACAGCGTTTGAATGCAGAATAGAGCGTTTTTATATTGGCGGAATGGAGGATAATGCGGGGTTGAAATTAAAAACCGTTATTTTTTATTTTCAAAAAATTCACTTGCAAGAATTTTCAGATCCTTCAAATAATTTATTTATACGCTCAAAAAAAAAAAATATTTTCTCTTTATCTTCAAAATATGCCAAAAAGCCTCTTTGACTTCATCATCATCGGTGATGCATTTTTTACCTCTTAACTCATTTTTCACTTTTGGAAACAGGCAATAATCACTCGGTGTCAGGTCAGGACTGTAAGGAAGGCGATCCAATTTCTATTCTTCTTTTTCAGTTGCTTGGTTAATGATGGATCAAGCACAAATTGTTTAATAATAATGAAGCCGCGTATTTATACTTTGCGTTGCTAATTGAGCCGACTCACCCTCTACGACCCTCTTTTTCAGCGAATATAGAAACTCTCCCTCGTAAGATGGCAACCTACATATGTAAATTCACTTTTATATATATATACTCATGCATTATGCAAAGAAAAGTCTACCGGCTAAGCCATCTCTTCTACCCTGCTTTAAAAGAATGGAATAAACACACTTTCCGTTGGCATGCTTAAATAAAAGTAGTTGCTGAAAATGGGGTGCTAGGTAGACTTCGATCTTCTGGAAAAATGAATATATTTTTAAAATATAAGCAAAAAAATGTTAACTACACCTGGAGCATAGAATTTCCTTTCAATGAGTAATAAAATTTATATAAATATATATAAATTTCTGAGATTAAATCCTTTCGCAGGACTAACAAAGACTGTATAATTGGCGCTTTGCCTCCGCTATAAAGATCTCCGAACGAGCTCCTCCTCAAGTATGTAGTTTCTGTTTTTATAATTCTGGTCACAATTCTATTTCTGATATGAAGTAAAAGCTTCTATAAAAAATCCCCGAGCCGTTCGGAGGCGACTATAGCAAGAATCTTGACATCCCAGTTTTTCAACATCACAAGAATAAAAAGTGATACTTCGTACCGTAATTAATCATCACCACAGGTCATGGAAATATTTTTATATCAAGGCATTCTTAATCGCTCGCTCATTAACATGTCTCATTTTTTTTATATATTATATCTTTTTATAGGCCGGAATATTTATTGGTTCCTCAGGGTGACAGTTGAGAAGTCAATCAAGAAAAATCTGACTCGTATCATCCTACGGAATATTTCAGTGTCTGAACAGTCGCTCCGTACTCCGTATTCACAAATTTTACCACTTCCTGCCGATCTGGCAGCTCTATTGCAAGTGAAGTTAAGTGTAAACAAATCATATGCCACTAGAGCTTTCTGCCATGCTTTTTTCCAACACGCTATCCACAGCGTATGTGTCGCTAATTTACAGCTACGTGTGTACGTAAGGGCGTATGAGTAACATTGTGAAAGCTTCCTCAACCAGCTGTTGCTTTCTGCAGGAGTTGATGGCTCAAATCTCTGTTAACTGCTATGGTAGGGCGTATGGAATTTGTAAACAAATGTGGTTATGAAACAATATTTTGACGTACTAATTTTTTTTATCAATTTAATTTTGTCTGAGTAATATATTTAAAATATAAAATAAGATAGTAAATTGAATTGTATAGCAAACTTTTTTCGCGTTAACTAGGATTTCTGCTTCCAAAAAATTTGGCGTATGCAATATTAATGCGTGAACATTGAAAAAGTTGTAAAAATTTATTGCCGTTGTAGCTAACATTTCCACACTGCTGTTAATAACATAATGCAAGCTAGAGCCTATGTTGAGTATTTCAAGGATATACATACTTATTTATCTAACAGTTGCGCGTAAAGTGAAAGTGATGTACACCAAAAAAGAAAGGCAAGCGCACCAAGCGGAAAACATGAAGAATCAAATTCGCAAATACGCCATCAAATCAGTCAAAGTACTACCTCGCTGCTGCAAACAACGTCGAGTTCCATTAACTGCGAGTTGAGAAAAAGAAAAACAAGTCAACTAAACAAAATAAATTTGCTAAAGAAATTTTAATAATACATAAACCAAGTTAGTTATTTCTTACTAATTTGCTTAAAGTTGTGTGAGTTATATATGTATGCGCGCTTTTAAACGAGTTTACATGCCAGAGTAGTATGGAATAACATTGTAAAGCATATACAATTTTCCAAATAACGCTAGCATATTGTAGTGAAATTTTCACGGAAGCAAATACCACACAACATTCCATTCATTTTTGATAGTAAGGTGAGTGTGTGTTAAGAAAATATTTATGAATATATAATATAATAGATACATGTTTTATACATACTCTGCTTATGTAATTTTATTTCGCATGAAAAGAAATTTGTTTTTTTTTTGCAGTCAGCACTGCTTTCATAGCGCTTGATTAGCTGTCTTTGCCAAATCAACCATTTTATCATCAGTAAAAGGCACTTTTATATACACATACATACACGTATGTATATATTATTTTATTTATGTGCATATTATATTTTCTATTTCGCTAATCGAAATATATTAAATCAACTAATATTTGCACTATCTTTCACTGTATATGAATTACCAGATACATACATACTTATGCATATTATATACATATATAAAGCGGCATTCATATCAGCAGCACGCATTGCGAAGATTACCGATTTAACGCATTTTCTGCTTTCACATAAAAGTTGGTCAACTCACACCTTTTTCATGCTGCTTTGGTGCTTAGTCAGTTCACATTCCGACAAACGGACAATTAACCTTTTAATGATTCCTCATTTTCTTCTATTTTTTACCGATTCACCGTGCCGCCAACGAACAGCTGTTGCGCTTGTTGCTCTGCCATTTTCTACGATTTCTTGCATATTTAACCGTGAACTCTGCGTTGTTTCATGTTTTATGCTTGCCACTGCTGCATATGCATGATTGTGATTCTTAGCTACAACAACAATCATGATAACAATAGCAATAACAAATTAAACGCAACTCATTCATAAAGCATTAGCTATGCATATTAAAAAAACAGTATACCTTTTGAATATTTAATGCGCATATGATTAATGCATTCCCGCTTGCTATGGACACGCACCCAAAAGGCGTACATTCATATGTACATATATATCTACTTACTGTATTTTTCCTTTGCGTTGAACATTTACCGTCAATATTTGCTTTTGGGTTTGTATATTTATACTTGTTTTATTTGCCTTGCCAGCTCCTTGTTTACTTGTTAATATTTAAATGTAGAAATTGTTTTCTGCATCAAATGGCGCCACACCTCCTGCGGCTAAAAGAAAAAAAATTGTAGTAGCATCGAAATTGAAAATAATCGCAAACATATATGTAGATATATACATTAGAGTGATTAAAAAAATCTTAGAAAGTTTCGGGTCGAGCCCAAGAAGAAAAATTCTTATCTCTTCCGATAGGGGATCTCCTTCTAGATCTTATGTTAATCTTTGGCAATATTAGATTAAAGGGATTAAGTGTCTCAGTTGGGACTTGCACTTTATGCTTTTATGCTATGCAGACGTCGTGTCGGGTTAGTGAGCTTCAACGGTTGCTTTCAAGTCTCATTGTGCTCACTTTTGTACGAACAGCTCACTAGATTGAATAAACTGTATACTTCATCCCACCTAAGCTTGCTCATATTTCGAGGGCCGGAGCATAGTGCAATGTGGTGTCTCAATCGACTGAAATTCAGGTACTAGCAAACGTAGGGCCTCAGAATTTCATTCTTTTCCGCACTCGCTCTGCACTCAACCTAGCCTGAAAGATGATATTATTGGTATAGATAATCCATCTACAAGATCCCTGTCCTCTTGGTGTAAGCGAGTAAAGTTTGGTTCTGTTTGCAATCCACGCTGTCCCGCAGAAATTGAATGGTACGCCTTACGTTGGATGAGCACACGGACCTTTAGTATTGCTTAAGGGTTTACTGCTTTGGAGAGCAGTTGGAGGCGTTTGAACGGTCTGAGCCAATGGTAAGCATCCACGAGATCTAGGAATTAAGTAATGTTTACCGTAAAAGTCTGTTACTAGCCTCCTCATGAGATTTTTTATTAGCTCAATCAATTACCCCAGGTTTGATTAGGCTGAACTGGCTGATCCATCGGGTATCACATAGATATCCACAGTATTGCCAGACACACTATATATGACAAAGCTGTACAACTACACTCTTTATTGTGTCCCTGGGGTGAAGAATATTGTTGTTCCTTTCGTAAACTGGTCATTGTCAATTGAAGGTCCAGTAGCCATTCTGCGACAAGTTACCATATCCTTTGTGTGCCGAATGCCAGAGACTAACAGTTTACGTGCACAACTGACATATATTAAAAGCATGCGATGCCAAGAGGCAACATCCCGTTGGCAGAACTACTAAGAGCCTGGAATCCGGCCCCTTTAACGCTATTAAAAACATGGCGAGTTTCGCATCTTACGTTTTGTCTTTAGCTTCTTTCGAAAGTCAATTCGCCTGATAAAGTATTTTTACTTCTTGTTTGTGCTTCATTTGCCATTTGGAGCCTCTGTCAGCTTAGTCCAAGATGGAATTTTGTATTTTCTTGTGAATAGAACCATATCGGCTTTCCAGTATTACCTTAAGTTCTGTTGAAACATCCGTGTTATTGTTGGTTATTAGTGCCTAATACCCAAATCTGTGGGCTGTCAAACACTTACCGCCCTCGATGATTGAGATATAATCCAGGTAGGTTACAAGCATGGCAGCCATGCCTTCCATCTTGGTGGTAGCAATCCACCTTGGGGAGTTCCTCACGTTGCACTGCCATCTTCCTGTAAGACATGTACTATACAGTTTCTAAGGACGGGGTTGACTCCTGCTGAGTATAATAACCCATCCATTAAGGAATGTTTACGAATATGTTTAAATGCTCCTGATATCCTTAAGAAGATGCCCAAAAGCATATTCCGTTTTTCCGAGAGAAAATTCTACCTTTCAGTATGTGACGCTCAGTGAATGGTAAAATCCTTTGTGCAAACATATTGTATTTGAGAGTAGTTCCTCATCTACAGTTTGCTTGAAGTTGACATCTTTAAGGCGCTCTGATGTTATTTAGAAAAAAAAGAGGTTAAATTGATTGGGTGATAGTTATTTGGCTGCAAGTGCCCTGAGCTCCCTACTTTGGGTAGAAATACTACTCTTGCCGTTCGTCATGAAACCGGGACGTAGCTTTCCATATGGCACGTTTCAAAGAGTTTGCTTTAAAACTCTAAAACCTTATCACCAGCTCTGCAAGGCATAGCCGGAGAGGTTCAATCTAAGTTCGTTGATTTATAATCCCATTTGCGGTGTGAGGTTTGATGTTTTTTCAGTAAATGTGAGACAGATCACCTGATGGATTTTTATGACTTGTTTTTTATTTCATTTCAGATATATGCTTGGAGAGATTGACACTGCCTGTCTTTATATAGCCATCTTAAACATCTCGTGACTTTTTAGCATGAGGAATGAAAATTTATTAGCTGCATCATTTTACGGATTTTTTTTTTAATATTAAAAAAAAATCAATCACCCTAATGTATATTTCTATTAATGTGCGCATAAATATCTCCCAGCCAACACCTGTTTGTATAGTGAGACGCCATTATCTTGTTTTTCTGCACCCTCAGCTTGTCAGCTAAAGCCCGAGTAGGTACGTATTACGGCCTGTTTATTATCCTGCCGGAGGACTTTTCACTTTACTCGCATTGTTGAGTAAATAATGAGCCACACAATGCCGCTGTCAAGACGCTTGCAATGGCAATATTTACTATTGTTTTACGTGTATGTACATGAGTTTGCGAAAAATACCATTTTTATATTTTTTCTTTATTATTTTCTCTGATAAAAAACATATCGTATTACACGTGTTCGTGGGTCGGCTTTCAATTAAATGTCGTTTCGCGCTTGTGGTTCTGTGAAGTGTACTGATTGTGTGGCTTAAAGTTAAATATTTACTTATATATTTAGGTTTTCTATAGTAAAAGTTTTTAAATTATTTAGAAAATCATCATCCACCCATTCTCCGTCCTTTCGTGGTATTTCTAATGAAAGCCGAAAAGTTTTCACTCAAAATGTTCCTCATTTATTTGAGTAAGCTGTCATAATTGGTAGAATGTTGCTGCTGGCTGTTTTGTCTACTTGTTGTTGACATTCGTAGATTGCCTGGTATTGCCAGTTGCTCAGACAAAACAGTGTTTGAGTGTAGTATCTACCTGGGTTAATTAAGGAAAAGTTTTTGTGTGGAATTTGAGTTTCGGCGTAGGCAATTATTGTTATTCAAGTCCTTGCCACATTGTTTCACTTTCGTTTTGACATTTCCGTCAGCAGTTTGGCTTAATGTTGAATGCGCATTTAGCTTAACAACTTTTATCTCGTATAAAATATGCAGTAACTAATGGATTTCCTTAGATAAATTTAAAAAAAATAGGAAAGTTTTTTATTACTCAATAGTTTAGCTGATGACTGGGTACATTTGCGGTCCATTAAAGGCAGAAAGAAATACCCACTTACGCCAGAATGGGATGGGGTTTGCAGTTAACAGCGAAATTTATCGAAAGCAAGCACGATAAAAAATATTAAATCCCGAGCACATCCGGAATTTTTTTCGTAGGATATTATTGAACTCATTTTTATAATTTTTTTGATTGGTCTATAAAATTTCAGTATAGGTTTGATATCCCAGACAGGCTGCGGGATAAACTCTTTCCGCATGACAAGTGGATGTAAGCAGTGTAAACAAGTTGTAAGTCTATTGTCGTGCCCTTGACAATAGTTAGTTCTTTGATAAACCTTTTGTCAACCTCATCGTATCAATGTCGCTGTCAATCTGAAGCGAGTTTCGATTCGTTCCTACTATATGTTTGGGATTTATATCTGCTTTAATAATTAACGGCATTTTCTTTTCCACATCAACCGTTATCTTAGGCCTTCTATGCTAGGTTGCTTCGGTGGCAGTTTAGCTGGGGATGAACAAAAGTCTATACTCTTGAGAGGAGGTTAGTTCTGACATCAATAGCCCCTTCACTCGCTGCTTTTGAGCGTTGGTGAGACCACTAATGAATCACATGTTACCGTAGTGCAAAAGACTTGCCATTGTTCCTGCGTTACGAATATATGATACGAAATTACATTCCCTGCGAACTGTTACCAACCAGTATATAAAAATTCTAGTAAAATACTAGTATGTGGAAGATGAAAACATACCAGTTCGTTATTTGTAAAGAAATCCACCAGTAACCAGGGAGAAATAACA